TGTTTACATGAGTGAATGTTCCTTTCATGGTTTACATGTTATAGGCTACATATTTTAATTAACATCATACTTTAGCATTCAAAGCTAGTTTTCTCTGGTGTTTTATGCAACAGTCCGTGTTGGTCATGGCACAATGTGTGATTTGGGGCATTTTGAATTTAATTTTGCAACAAGTTCAGCTGAAGTTATGTTTTTAATGGGCTATTATGGGTGCAAACAGACCAGACAAGATCAAAAGCTGGCATAGGAGAGAAATAGGAGTGTGAACAGCCCCTCAGAATGTTGCCGCGGGCAAGCGGAGATTATGCAAATTAGGCCCTCATTTTGGCTAAAAATTTGAAAATGTAAGTGGTTAAGCAGATCCTTTATTTTTAGCTACAGTATCCTGCAGTATTTACATCGAAGGGCAGGTACGTTACTAAGGATATAGTTTATTTAAATGTAGGATTGAGTCACAGTCATCAAAATTGAGGCCGCTAGTTTCTAGAAGGGATACAGCTGCAGCAGGAAGTTAACGAATATTATTTATTAATAATAATGTAAATCTTGTATTTTATCAAAGTCTAACCCTACCCCAATTCTAAACTCATTCATTACAATAATATAAAAACAGTAATCATTGTTATAGTGTCACAAAAAGTAAGCTTTATCGACGTGAGCATTCGCAGCTGTATCCCTTCAGAAGTGCTCTTATCTTGAAAATTAGAAGACTGAATAGGCTGCAACTAGGTCAACATGGCGGACAACAGATCTGCGACACAGCGATTGACTAAAACATTGCTCAATCTATCTCCTGTGACATTTATAAGCAACACACTTACATAAAACCGCTTCCATCAGCTGACCAGTCATATTGAGTTATATTTAGTGATTCTGGCGACATGTTCACACAAACACAGTCATGATTCAGCGGCTCTCTGAGATCATGTTTGTTAGCATGTTCCTGTTCTCTCCTATAAACCACCTGTGGGATTTGTTTGAGTATGTTAAACAACATAATACACAAACAGTGAGGAGAAATATAGTATTATTGCCAATCTACAACACTTTTGTCATTGGTTTTCTTCTTAAAAAGAATCTAATTTAAGTTCATAATGTTAAAATATTAGGTTTTTTAGATATCTATAATAGAGTTTGACTCTCATACAACTTATTGACTATTATACAATTTCACCATGATATAGGCCTACCAGATTACATCCTGCTGAAAAAAATCCATCTTAAACCAGCCTAGGATGGTTGGCTGGTTTAAGCAGGTCGACCAGCATAGTTTTAGTGGATTTTGACCATTTCCAGGCTGGTTTCCAGTCATTTCCTGCTTGGTCTTAGCTGGTCAGTTTGAAAAATGACCAGCTAAATCCAGCTAAAACCAACTTGACCAGCCTGGTTTAAGCTGGACATAGCTGGTTTTGGCTGGGTTCCCAGCCTGGCTAGGCTGGTCAAGCTGGTTTCAGCTGGTCCTCTCCCAGCCTGAAAAGCTAAGACCAGCCTGGAAATGGCCAAAACCCATCTAAAACCACGCTGGTCGACCAGCTAAAACCAGCCAACCATCCAAGGCTGGTTTAAGCTGTTTTTTTCAGCAGGGATAACAATAAATCTCATTAAAATAATCGTTTACTTATTAAAATACTATAAAATTTCACTGTTTAGCCCCAAAATACTCATTAAGTGTCATCTGAAATCTTATTATTTGCATTTAGGAAATTAAACCACAAGATTTTACCCATTTGTCAGGCAAAAATGACAAATAATATGTAGTTATTAAAATATCTATACACTAAATGATAATTGAACATTACTTCACCCATATTCTGACTTTTCTAACAAAAGTTTTATGAAATAGAAGACACTTTTTTGCTATTAATATAAAAACAACCTCACACAGACACCAAAAATACGACAATTCACAATAGAATAAAGCAAGTGCAGATTTTAAACACTTAAAATGTGCCCCAAAAATGTCCTATATCAACTTTTACCCTATGACAGTTGAGTTGAACTCATTATTTCTTCAAACTAATCACCATTACACCACAAATGTCTAAATCTTGTCATTATTTCTTCAAACCAATCAATATTACGCCACAAATATGTCTAGATCTCGACATTAACTTGTACTGAACCCAGAATACTCCTCTACCGGCTCCATTATTAAGCAATGTTTGGACAGACAGTTAAATTTGTCACCTCGCAAACCAGCATAAACAAGGTCATAAATAAGCATCTCTGTGTGTGGTGTGGTGAAGTGACGGCCGGTGCGTGTTTATACTGAGAATATCTGCCTCTTTTTCACGACACCTTCATCCACGTGAAACACACGACAGCTTGTTCTCCAGCCGCCTGTCTAAACAAAGAGCGTAAGAAACAAAACATGAGCACTTCAAGCTATTTTGCAATTCGACTACGAACACGTATGAGCTCAAATGACTCACCGAGAATGAGTGCAACCTTTGAAATAAGTTACACAACGTACAAAAACATTCAATGACAGAAAATCAAGCAGCGTGTGCAATGAAGAACGCGATTGAGGTTTAAATATAGAACCTTTTATTTCCATTTAGAGTAAATAAGAGTGTTGAAAATCTGAAAATAAGGCTTAAATACCTACAGAACGTCTCGTATTTAAATAGTCGATAACACTTTACATGCCCAAATCCAGTGACAATGAAAAATGTCCTTTGTTTGTTGTGTGTTATTCGTTTCTTCTCGTATTTTCCCTTGTAAGAAAGAGTTCAAGTATAAAAATTCTCAACAGTGTAAAATAGCCCATCTGATGCGTATTTAAAGCAATAGAAGCACAGCATCCTTCCTTGACATTGACAATACATTCTAGTGTATGAAGCAGCATGTCCCTTAGGTTGTCTTTTTTTGATCATTTAAACAGTTCTGAATATGACAAATGGAGATAACATGCCCGAAAAATAACAACAATAGGCCTGCAATAAAATTAAAGTCATACAATAGGCATTAAACTAGCTGATATTTAATGTCATGTTCTAAAAATTCCAATGTATAGAGAAGAAATAATAATAATTGTACAGTGCACATACAGAATTGTATCTTAAATAAGTCCTACACCAACATTTTTCTTTTTTTTTTGCTTCTTTTTTTTTTTGGTTGAGTATGTTAATAATACTACAACTAAGCCTACTCAATAACTTATAATAATAATAATATGCCATGAGATGAATACATTATATCCATACAGTACCGCCTCCAAGTCCGTCATGACCTTCGAGCGCAAAATAAATACCTTAAATAGCAGATCTCTTTAAATAGCATTACAAAATGTAAGGCACACAAAGAAAGAACCCTGGGATCCTTCCGCTAAAGTAGTGCTGCTCTGTAAAGAGTTGCTCAATGAAAGACATAGACCTTATTAAGTGTGCTGGTGCTCAGACATATTTGTTTTGGGGTTTTTAGTGAACATGTAAAGACCCTTTTGTTGATATAGGGTGAAAAAGCTTGCTCTTATCACGTCTTGTTCCTGATAAAGATCCATCGCTGATGTTGGGAAGATGCACAGGTTTGTTCGGACCCTCTTTTAGGGAGATAAAAACAGGGTTGTTGACAGACCCGCAGCAGGACTGCTTCCAATTTGGGATGAAATTGCGACAGCTCAACAAACGAGCACCAGAGCAATGCAATATATATGTGTGTGTGTGTGTGTGTGTGTGTGTAAATCAGTGCTTGTTCTTTCCAACACAGACATACTCTAGTACTAGTTAAGTGAGCAATGCCCCATGCTGTTTTTCCCTATACTTAGTCATCTTTATGTGTGTGTGTGTGTTGACAATAACACTTTAATGTGTGTGTGTAACAGCGTACATGTTAGTTAGTCCGTGTGTGTTTTTGCAAGCATATAATACAATAAATCTCAGTCTTTTTTTCGTCTTTTCGAGAGTGCCTTCGAATTGTTCGATGCCCATTGTGGTGGGAGAGGGGGAGCGAAAAGAAATAACGAAAGGATGAAAGGAAAGCATCTCCTGTTCCTGCGCTTTGTTTCGTCCCCGACGGCTTGTTTTCTTTGCATAGGGTCAGGAGGTCAACGCAGGAGCCAGAGCAGTGAGGGGACATTCAGCATCAGATTGATAAAAAGGTAGTTCACATAACACATAAAACATGCTAACACTGGATCTTCCTCCATTTCGCCACAGTTAGGTCTACTATCCCTGATTGGCAGAGTCTGTCGCTTATTATCATAATAATAATAGTAATAATTCGCTGAAAATGCTCCATTTCCCTGATGATCAAAAAAAAAAAAAGATGAGAAAAAGACAGAACAAAAAAAGGAGCCCTCAAAAAAATTGAGAATAAATATAAAGGTACGGGGGCTCTAGGATCAAAACAATGCAAGACACCTCCGAGTGTCCTTCGGGAAATAAACAGTCGCCTACATTTTAATGACAGCATCGGGACTTTTTAAAGGTTTCGTCTGTACCACAGTGATTAGTCGCTGCATACCTCCCCCTTTTCGCAATAAATATCCTACTCTAATATTAATTATAGTAATAAAGATAACATAATAATAGTAAAAAGCTAGATTCCGTCCTTTTCTGCGATCTTTTTTTATCGTTTTTTCTTTACTTTCGTTTTAAATCACAGCAAGTTGGAAAGCAATGGAGTTCCCATCTCACTAATAATCTACTATTTCTTCCTCCTCTTGCAATCAACCCACAGCCAGCAACTATTTTCACCCTCTTCATCTTCATCGTTTAGTAGCAGTCGCTGGGCTTCGGATGCCTGCGTTTCTCCCGTCCGCCTCTTTGGTTGCTATTGCATGCGTTCGGCTTGCAGTTGTTGGGGTTGATATTGACCGAATGCTGCTGCAGCTGCGGCTGCAGATCCTGGAGCGGCGGTAGCTAGCGGTTGCTGCATTGCATATCCATAACCGGCTGCAGCTACGTATCCGGTTGCAGCAGGAGAAGCAGCGTATGGATACTGCTCATAGGCTGCTGCGGCGGCGGCTGTAGCGGCGCTAGCGTACTGTGCATAAGCCGCGCCGGTGTAGTCGATGTATGGTGAAGATGCAGTGGCGGAGGTTGCTGTTGGCTGGATGTGAGGAATAACCACACTTGGTTGCATGAAGGCCTGTGGGTACACGTAGTGAGTGGGGATCCTGTGAGGAACAAATAAATACAATGGTGTGTTAGCAATGCATTATGGACATGTCAAATAGACTGTAAAAGATATCTGTTTATTAACAGTTTGCGTGCGTTTACTGTTTATTTGCGGTTGTGTATTGCATTATGGAAGCTTGATCTGTTGACTTTTGATGCTAAATTCAACTCCACAGTTTAACAAAGTGACTGTTAGTAGTTTGCAATAGTATAATGTTGAAGCAATAATATATTGAGCAATAAGTCTGTAAAATATAATCACCAAGGTTTTTGTAGCATAATATACAACACCAACATAGTCAATATATCTCTTTAAACTATTAAATATTCATAAAAGCCACTTTTTAAAAACCTTTTCAAGGCTAAAAGGTATTAGAAGAAAGATTAAGGTACCATAATGCAATTCAAAAGCATAAATAAATGGGGAAAAATAAAATCATGAATCATAAAATTACGGAAAACTGCTAATTAACTGATTTTTTTTTTTACAGTATGCAAAAACCACAACCATAGCACTGCCAAAGCACCACGTTTCCACAATTTAATAGCAACAAGGAAATGGCTGCAAGTGATTATTAGAGATATAAGGTTGCCAGAATAGACATCTCAGCTGTAAAGGGATGGTTCACACAAAAAGATCATTGTACTCATTTGTGCGCATATTGTATGCACTTATTAAAATGTATGCACATCTTGGTGTTTACATTAAGCACTTTTATATGCAATTTTCCAAAATGCACATAAAAATAGGAGGATGGAAAATAGCTTAAACAATTGTGTTTTTGTACCTAATTTAGGTCAGTTATGTATTTATAAATATTAAAGAGATAGTTCTTCCAAAAGAAATTTACAATTTGCTTACTATTTACTCTGAAGTGGTTCTTTTCTTCTGTTGGACACTAAAGAAGATATTTTGAGGAAAGCTGAAAATCTGACTTCCATAGTAGGTAAAACAAATGCTATGGAAGTCAACGGTTACAGTTTTACAACATTCTTCAAAATAACTTGTGTTCAACAGAATAAAGAAATTCTAATTGGTTTGGAATAAATAAACGGTAATTAGATAATTACAGGATTTTCAGATTTGGATGAACTAAATCTTTTCGTGTGGAGTTGACAAATGAGTAGAATCAATTACTGTTTTCAAACAGAGTTTGCAAAAAACAAAACAAAAACAAAAAAAAAACAGAACTCCGCCCACAAACTCACACCATTGGTTGAGTCACTGGCTGCTGTCATGTTGGGTCGGTTAAGTGTATAAATGTATAATTTTAACAAAATAAAAAACCCTAATAAAAATCACCTTTGATTGTTAAAAGGCCAAGAAAAATCCAATAGAGTGCAAAAGTCTGGTTTGCAGAAATAGAAACGTTATCTATTTTCTCCATTTTGAAATAGATTTTTAAGCAATAACCTCTAGAAACAAACCTGTAGTGAAAATGTGTTTAGGTGACTATATATGCCTTTGATTGGTGGATTTTTCTTTAGAGCTTTATGGGTAATGTAGTTTTTTATAAATTAATTCCACTTTAACCAGAGCATCACAGAGATCAAACTACATCCACACATAGCTCCACCCACTCGCATAAAGTTATAATGTAATAAGATTGAATTAGGATATATTGTTTTATCCCAGCTATATTTTTTGTTTTAAAATAGACCTTTAAACATAGACAAATTGGCAACAAAAAGCTAAATTTGGGGTAATGGAATCGCTCAAAACTAGACTAGTCATCAAATACACAGAATTAAATGACTATATGAAGTCTAATATATTTATTTAAAGACAAAGTCTAATTTCGTGCTGTTACTAGATTCGGTTATCACTCACAGCCCAAATTTAGATTCGTTTTAGCCTAGATGTCTAAACAGTATTTTAAACACAAAATGACTTGGTGGGATCCATCTATATGGTTTCTATATAACCAACCAACAACTTTACATATTTCAGTTATTAGACCGTCTCAATAACTGAGGTAAATTAAATTCTGCAAATCATTCTCCTAGTCAGCCATTAGTCAAACAATCATATGCCCCTCCCATGAATGTGTCCCATTGGTTGAGCCACTGTTGCTATGTCAGGCTGGTCAGAATTCTCAAACTATATTTTAATAAGGCCACTGACTCTGTTTATCATTTTGGCCAAACCAATTACAATTATCTGATTAATGTAAAGTTTAATTTTGACTTTAGGCTATATTAGGATATATGGTTTCTATAAACAACCAAAAACTTTATATGTTTCTGTGATTGAACTTTGTGATAGAAAGTTGATAAATGAACCAAGTTAAATCCAGCGAAACAAATCAGATGCCCCTCCCCCAAATGTGTCCCATTGGCTGAGCCACTTTTGCTATGTCAGGCTGGTCAAATTCTCAAACTATGTTTTGTTAAGGCCACTGACTGTTTATACATTTTAGGCAAATCAATCTGCAAATATCGGTTTAATGACAAGCCTAATTTTGGGGATATGTTAGATTAGATTTTCACTTACAGCCCAAAACTTAAATTCGTTTTAGTCAAGATGTCTAATATTTAAACCCCAAATTACTATGTGGGGTTTATCTATACAGTTTCTATATTACCAACCAACAAACTTTATATATTTCTATGATCGCACTGTTATAATAAATGAACAGCAGAACATTCTCCTAGTCAGCCATTGGTCAAACAATCAGATGCCTCTCCCCCGAATGTGTCCCATTGGCTGAGCCACTGTTGCTATGTCAAGCTGGTCGGAATTCTCAAACTAAGCTATGTTTTGATAAGGCCACTGATGGTGTCCAGCTTTGGGACAGTCTAATTTCTAGCCCAAATTTATAATAATTTTAGCCAAGATTTTATACATTTCTGTGATTGGGCTGTCTCGTTAAATGACCAAACTGAAATTAAGCTGAACATTATCCTAGTCAGTCATTGGTCAAACAATCAAATGCCCCTCCCGTGAACGGGTCCCATTGGCTGAGCCACTGTTGCTATGTCAGGCTGGTCGGAATTCTTAAACAATGTTTTAATAAGGCCACTGACTGTGTTTATACATTTTGTGCTAACTAATCTACAAATTTTGGTTTAATGTAGTCCAAAATTACTTTGTGGGATTTATCTAAACAGTTTCAATATAGCCAACCAATAATTTACATATTTCTATGATCGCACTGTTATAATAAATTAATCTCAATGAATTCAATTCAATCCCATTCATCTTCATTTCTATTGTGCTTTAACATTGTAGACTTTCAAAGCAGCTTTACATAGAAGATCATAGTAAATTGACTATGAGAGTCAGTTCAGTTTTTAGTGTTGAAGTTCAGTTTAGTTCAGTTCAGTGTGGTTAAACTTTCAATGGCTTTCACTGTGTCTAATTTCTCCTAGTCAGCTATTGGTCAAACAATCACATGCCCCACCCCCGAATGTGTCCCATTGGCTGAGCCACTGTTGCCATGTCAGGCTGGTTGGAATTCTCAAACTATGTTTTGTTTTGATAAGGCCACTGACTGTGTTTATACATTTTAGGTGAATCAATCTACAAATATTGGTTTATGTCATTCTCGTTTATCCAACATTTAACATTGAAAGATATATATTGCATCTATTATTACCTAATATAATAAGGTATTCTCAGAATCATCAAGCAATGTTTAAAGTCACATGCGTGGGGTCCTGTGAACTGGGGGACGGCAGGACCCAGGAGATGAGCGGAGCATTGTGAAAATGTCAGGGCTACTTTGACAGCTGGACAGTTTTCAAAAAGCGACGTTGCTGGCTGTTTCCCCCTCCGCATTTAGACAATGAGCCTCGGGCTGGACTGCACACACAGAGGGCAGTTTTGATTAAATAAGCAATCAGGAACAATGAGAGCATTCTGCCTTTCATTACGTACCCCGTTGCACTTTCAGAGCGCTTTTCACTTTTACTGTCTGCACTGGACAGACGGGTGAGAAAATCAGTTCGGGGATGGCGAAATACAATGTGTGGCATTTAAAGGGACAGTTCACCCAAAATATTTAAATTCAGTTTATATTATAGTAATTATTTACTCATCTTTATAACTATACCGTACAACTTCCAAACTTCCTGGTGTTTGTTTCTGGTGTTGATTTAAAAGAAAGTATACTGGAGACTGGCAAACTATAATGCAAAAAAAACAAAAAAACAAAACTGTTCCAACCTGGCAACCCTATTTGTACAACACTATTAAACCAATAAAACCTCCACATCCCTAACTTACAAGCTTGAGTTTCTTTCCTCTGTTGAACAACAAAAGATATATTGAAGAATGCTGGCAAAACAAGCACAAATACAAAATGAAAAAATAAATAAAAAATAATAATTAAAAAAAAGATTTATTTTAATTCTAACCTGGCAACCCTATTTGTAGCACACCAATAAATCAATAAAACCTCTAAAATCATTTGCTCATCCAAACTTTTTTTTTTTTGCTGTTAAACAGGAAAGTATATTGAAGAATGTTGCCAAAAAAAGCTTAAATGTGAATTGTTCTGACCTGGCAACCCTATTTGTGGCGCACGATTAAATCAATAAAACCCCTAAAATTCTGTAATTTACCTATTCTTAGATTCCAATCTTGAATTGATTTTCTGTTGATCAAAAAGGATGATATACTGAAGAATGATGACAGATAAAATTGTTTTAACCTGGCAACCCTATTTATAGCTCACCATAATGTCAATAATTGTCATTTATCTTTAACTTCCAAACAAGTTTGTTTCTGCTGTTGGTTAAAGGAAGATGTACTGAAGAATGTTGCCAAAACAACAACACATTTTACTAATTCTAACCTGGCAACCCAAAAATGAAGATACACTGAAAAATGTTGGCTAAAGAAACGAAAAATAAAAGTTAACCTGGCATCCTTAATTGTGACACACCATTATGTTAATAAAAGCTCCATAATTCTGTCATTTACTCATCCTTCTAAACTTGTCTTTCTTTTCACTGTTGAACAAAAAGGAAGATACTAAAGATTGTTGCCAAAACA